TTTTTTTTTTTTTTTTTTTTTTTTGCCGCGAAGTGAATCACATACGACTGAAATAAAGGTTACAAAGGCACACATCTGTAGCAGGCATCATATTGTACTCTCCTACTTTATTAATTCTACTCCTAACTCGTGGAGCAAAAAACACACCATCTGTTTTTATACAGCACTTGACACGAGAGTCACTGGCACAGTCGCCTGCGGACGAGACCACGGGCTTGTGAAGAGGTGCATATTCCAAAATCGTCAGGTAAAATTTAACCATAATGGTTATATTATTTATTATATACTGGTATTTTGATATCCTTTTGCTTTAACTAAAGCACTATATTTAATTCATACAGTGCCTTTGGCACGGCAAGAAGTTGTACAACTTCTTGGCCACGGCAAATATAGATCGGGGTTACTAGAAATGCCGACAAGTCTAACACCTTTAAATCTCTTAGAAAGCAGCAAAGGTAACCATCAAAAATATTAATTTTACTACTTGGAGAAACATTGTGGAGTTCGATATAGAAGTGTGCGTAAATGAAATAAATCAAATAAGTTAATTTTGTTCTCTTTCTGCATGAATAAAATTTGTCAGATTTTCATTCGTCACTGGACACAAATTTCTAATGCCAAATCCATGGGTTGTTCTTTGAACCTAATGATATGATATTATGTTGAACAACGCATAAAGATCTAAATTTCAAAAATATGGTTCTTCAGATTAAGGTAATGCACACCTTCTCGGTCAAAGACAATGCTAAAACATTAGTTCCCCAAACAGAACAGAACATAGCCTCGCGTAGATTTTCTGATACCAAACGGAAACAACTCGCAATGGTTATGAATTTGATATTTTTTTAGATAACGTGTCACTACCATGCCAACCCCAGGCGAGAAGGCTGATTTGAGCGCTGTGGCTCAGTTTGACAAGTCGAAATTGAAGAAAACGGAAACCAAGGAGAAAAACACGTTGCCTGACAAAGAAAGTAAGTCAGTTATGCTTAAAAAAAAAGCGGGAATTGCGATTTTTAAAGCTGGATGAAAATCGTTACATTCTTGTTGCAAGTGAATGGAAAAGCCGAGGATTATCAGTAATTCTGATCAGACATATGACAGTTATATCTACACCAATATATCTAATTTGATCAATTTCTGAATATGCTATAGACGTAGAGAAATGTCCTTTTATCTATACATGCCAAATGCTGATACAAAATGTCGACTTAAACAAGCCTTTTTTTATCAGCAATCCAGCAAGAGAAATCCCAAGCAACCCAATCCAAGGGAACCCAAAAATGAGGAAATGGATGAAATGTGGAATTTTTAAAGACGAAGATGCTTAAGTTATCTGTGAGTGAAGAACGCGTGTATCTGTCTGAAAGAATGGGAGAGATTAGAGGGGAAATTACCATGCGACAGATGGCCGTAATGACATTTTGATTTGACTGCATTTATTCTCCACTTAACCATATCATGTATCAACATTCATGACAAGTTTGATATCTCGGAATAAATTATACACAATTTAAATACTGTCTTTTGTTTTAAAGAATTAAAATGACCATATCTAAGTACAGTACTCAGAAATAAAAATTCAATTTTTGAACTATTTTGCAAGCAGTGTATCTTCTATTGGGAAATTAAAGTGGCAGCGTGGGTGTCAGGGTAAGCTCCAAGCCAATCTCTGTAACCAGCGCCAGAGATGTGAAGTTTCAGGTGGCTACAACTGTTTAAGGCACTGTCACTTACCGTATAGCGGTAACGTATAAGAAAACTTAGCCATGCGCAGACCTTACCATGTATACAAACTAACATAGGTCTACGTTTCGAGTGCGTATCAAACGTTGGTGTACGTTCGGATACCCGGAGGGAGGTAATAGTTTTGAGCATGTTCAAAAACAATTCCATACGCTACTTCTAATATGCTGGTTGTATACGCTCAAAGGTGTGCGTATAATCGACTTCACAGTCGCTACTTATTAATACATGTACCTCTTTACGGAAAGCTTAGCCTTATATACTACAGAAAGTAGATTTGAATCTCTGCATTTTCCTTGGGAATGCAGTTGGGAAATTCACAGATATTTTTCAAAGTCGTAAGTGCAAAATTTATATAATAAAACATCTAATAAAGGCGAAGCTGATAAAAAGGCAAATCGTATTTCAAGAGACTTGTCGGATTTTGTCTCTAATGAGTACTGACGATTCAAGACACAATGACCTTCGTCACATGACTGACTCTTAGACGTGATTAATTTTATCATCATCACACAAGAGAGAAAAATGGATAACTTTATTTCAGATAAAAAACGAGGTCATTAAGTACAAATCCATTAAATACACCGGTGTGCTAATTTTCTTTCAAACCGATTTGTTTGCTGAGGACAGTGTTGAACATGTGCCACCAAATTACCTGTGATTAAGCAGACGACACATTTTACATTTCCTGAACACACCTATGAAAAGTCAAAATAAACCTTCACCTGAAGCAAGATTAAGAGACTTTAGGAGATACCTTTGCAGACTTAACTGATATAGAAAGTCAGTCAGTTTCACAAGAGTGAATAATATATAGGCGAGTTTCTTGAATGACTTTGCAGTTGAGACTAGTGGGTCTTTTTAGATTTTTGGATTTTTTTCATTTTTGCTTTATTTAAAAAAGCTAATTTCAACATCAATTATTCCTGCTTGTACGTTAAGAATATTGTAAGTTTTGTAACCCTTAATTATCATCCAGATGCCGAAAATGAGTTTTTTTTCTTGCATCTAATTATCCAATGATGCATCTGTCTGTGTGCTGATTTAAAACAATAAAAACCCTTGAAAATATGTGATATCGCCGTTTATATTTCTCGTTGCAATGTATAAGCATAGGGAACTCAAAGCTTTAATCGTCAATTTCACACCTTTATATTTTGAAGTGAGATAGTAATCGGTATGGGGCGCAACTTCATAACTGAACAAGATTTTATCACGCAAATTGGCAACGTTGACCACGAGTGTATAGGCTACAATCCTGTGCCGTCACTCTGGTTCGAATGTTTTAGTATGGAGTTATGAGCCCTTTTTACAGATATTCATTAAACAAAGGCAATATTTTGCTTTGTCAACGATAAAATCTGAAATAAGACTTTAAAGAAAAATTGCTGACAGGGTTTTTGAGGACTAAATGGTGCAATTAAATGGGCGTTGAAACGGTGATTGTGGGTGCTCAGGTAAAAGAGAAAATCGAGGAACTGTTTTTTTTTCAGTTTTTACTCCAAAATCACAATTTTGACGTCACCCGTATGAAGACATCTGTAAATGTTATAAATTAATTTTGTTACTGAACACTGACGATTTATGTACTGCCCAAAAGAATATATGTAAGGCAGTAATAAGGAGTTTTGGGTGAAGTAGGGTGACAATATCCTTAAAAGACATAATGGGTGGCCAGAACCAGTATTGTTTAAACCTTTTTGTGTAAAATACAGCACAGCGGAGCAAATATTAGAACTGATGCTGAATCAATTTGAATCTACAGATTCCATAACTTCCTTTGACATTTTNGAAGATGCTTAAGTTATCTGTGAGTGAAGAACGCGTGTATCTGTCTGAAAGACTGGGAGAGATTAGAGTGGAAATTACCATGCGACAGATGGCCGTAATGACATTTTGATTTGACTGCATTTATTTTCCACTTAACCATATCATGTATCAACGTTCAAGACAAGTTTGATATCTCGGAATAAATTATACACAATTTAAATACTGTCTTTTGTTTTAAAGAATTAAAATGACCATATCTAAGTACAGTACTCAGAAATAAAAATTCAATTTTTGAACTATTTTGCAAGCAGTGTATCTTCTATTGGGAAATTAAAGTGGCAGCGTGGGTGTCAGGGTAAGCTCCAAGCCAATCTCTGTAACCAGCGTCAGAGGTGTGAAGTTTGAGGTGGCTACAACTGGTTAAGGCACTGTCACACTTACCGTATAGCGCTAACGTATAAAAAAACTTTCGAGCATGTTCAAAAACAATTCCATACGCTACTTCTAATACGCTGGTTTTATACGCTCAAAGGTGTGCGTATAATCGACTTCACAATCGCTACTTATTACATGTACCCCTTTACGGAAAGCTTAGCCTATACTACAGAAAGTAGATTTGAATCTCTGCATTTTCCTTGGGAATGCAGTTGGGAAATTCACAGATAATTTTCAAAGTCGTAAGTGCAAAATCTATATAATAAAACATCTAATAAAGGCGAAGCTGATAAAAAGGCAAATCGTATTTCAAGAGACTTGTCGGATTTTGTCTCTAATGAGTACCGACGATTCAAGACACAGTGACCTTCGTCACATGACTGACTCTTAGACGTGATTAATTTTATCATCATCACACAAGAGAGAAAAATGGATAACTTTATTTCAGAAAAAAACGAGGTCATTAAGTACAAATCCATTAAATACACCGGTGTGCTAATTTACTTTCAAACCGATTTGTTTGCTGAGGACAGTGTTGGACATGTGTCACCAAATTACCTGTGATTAAGCAGACGACACATTTTACATTTCCTGAACACACCTACGAAAAGTCATTCCAAAATAAACCTTCACCTGAAGCAGGGTTAAGAGACTTTAGGAGATACCTTAGCAGACTTAACTGATATAGAAAGTCAGTCAGTTTCACAAGAGTGAATAATATATAGGCGAGTTTCTTGAACGACTTTGCAGTTGAGACTAGTGGGTCTTTTTAGATTTTTGGATTTTTTTCATTTTTGCTTTATTTAAAAAAGCTAATTTCAACATCAATTATTCCTGCTTGTACGTTAAGAATATTGTAAGTTTTGTAACCCTTAATTATCATCCAGATGCCGAAAATGAGTTTTTTCTTGCATCTAATTATTCAATAATGCATCTCTGAGTGCTGATTTAAAACAATAAAAACCCTTGAAAATATATAATATCGGCATTTACATTTCTCGTTGCAATGTATAAGCATAGGGAGCTCAAAGCTTTAATCGTCAATTTAATACCTTTCTATTTTGAGGTGAGATAGCAATCGATATGGGGCGTAACTTCATCCCTGAACAAGGTTTCATCACGAAAATTGGCAGAGTTGACCATGAGTGATAGGCTACAATCCCGTGCCGTCATTTTGGTTCAAATGTTTTTGGTATGGAGTTTATGAGCCCCTTATTACAGATTTTCATTAAAGATAGGCATTATTTTGCTTTATCAACGATAAAATCTTAACTAAGACTTTAAAGAAAAATTTTTGGCAAATTATTGAGGACTAAATGGTGTAATAAAATGGGCGTTGAAACGGTGAACGTGAGTGCTCAGGTAAAAGAGAAATTCGAAAAACCGTTTTTTCAGTTTTTACTTCAAAATCGCAATTATGACGTCACCCGTAAGCAGACATCTGTAAATGTTAATTAATTTAGTTACTGAACACTGAAGATTTATCTATTACCCAAAAGAATGTATGTAAGGCAGTAAATAAGGAGTTTTGGGTGAAGGGTGACAATCCTTAAAAGACATATTGGGTGGCAAGAACCAGTATTGTTTAAATCTTTTTGTGTAAAATACTGTGCAGCTGAGCAAATATCAGAACTGATGTTGAATCAATTTGAATCTACAGATTCCATAACTTCATTTGACATTTGGGGGGGGGGGGGGGAGAAAAAGAAAAGAAAAAATTAAGACTTCAGTAAAATTTTTATACTTTTAATTATTGTAATTTGGAATATTCACACTACAATATGTACAAGCTTATAATACACTGCTTTGAAATTGCTTCCGGGAAGAACCAAGCTTAAGTGTAGAATTCACTCAATTCTCTGGAAGTACATTTTATCATATACAATTTCTACTGCTTAAAAGAAAAGCATACATATAGAATCATACACAAATATAATTATTTGATAGCTATCAGTCCTTCAATAACCAATATTCATCTATTAATAATGTGTAGCTCAGTTACAAAATTTAAAAGCACTTAGTAAAAACCATATACTATCAACTTGATAACAATCCTGAGGAAAGAGAGAAAGAAGAAGGAAACCATTTAAAGAACATTAGTGCTTCATGAAAACTATACTTTTAGTGACTTTCAATAGGTAATCTTACCTATGACTTTTATGGAATGTTTTCTGTATCATCACAATTCTTAAAAGTTTAACTTTGTAAAAAAAGGAATTCCTCTTTCTTGTTTCAAACCTCCTCCAAGACCTAATTTTGCATATCCCTCAACATTTTTGAAAAGTAAAAGTCATATTTATGTTAATAAAAACCAGGAGCAGAAATGAACTCAAAAGCCAACACACATCAAGAAGAGTAGCACTGGAAAACATTCCATTATCTAATTATCCCATTTGTTTCTTTATCTGCTTCATGTACAGCCATTTAACCAAATCATTTTCTTTTTCTTCTTTCTTATAACACCTCAGCATCATATGATGGGCAATGTATGGTCTGAGTTTCAGAGTAATCAAGTTTTAACCTTAATTGATGCCTCGAGACACATGCCACCAACAAGCACTCTCAAATTCCAGATGTATATTCTCATTAATTTTCTACAAACCTTCTAGCCCTTAATCTACCCACTCCACAGAAGCATGATAATAAGTGGAAAGTTACTATATTGAACTTGTCAATGAAAAAATATACAATCTTTTATAAAACAGGTTTAATATAGCTTGACCTTGAGCAACATGCATATCTTTTTGCCTTAAGGCAATTCACTGTTTACAAAACAAGAAGTGTAAATTTCACATCAACAATGATGTTAACAATGTAGGTATCAACCAAATATTTATTTTGATAAGTTTTTATTACAAGAAAAGATATTATTGAACAAGTATCTTTGTGACAAGAATTACCAGAATAATCATGGGTGACAACCACAAGCTGGACAGATAGGTAGTCAAATGCCATGGGTTTAATTACTCTCTCAGAATAAGAGTCAAATTTTGGATACATAGAAGTGCAAAACAATGCCATTAACAAAATTTTTCTTTTCTTACAGAAGAAATAGGGTAAAGTTTTTTAATTATAACAAAGCATTTCTGTTTCTGACCTTTTTATAACTGTGTTGTAAATTATGCCTGTGACCAAAATGAACTGACTTTTGCAATGTAGACGCTGAATGATATTGATTATTATTCGAGGTAGAAATACTGCCCAACACAGTTACTTGTTGCAGACGTAATGAAATGAAAGACACACTAACACGCTAGCAGTTGATATGCTGAATATTTTCAGGTTTGGAAGCACAAGTTGTAGAATTGGATCTAGTGGGTATTCTTCCTAAGTTTGCACTTAACTAATTAGTAGAACTCTCTCCCTTCAGTGCCAAATACTGACCTATACCCACAGATTGCCCAAATTTGAAATTTACAGATATGAAAATTAATAAGAAACAAGTGTCAACTTAAAATGGCTGAGGTGCAAAGAACTTGAAGTGTTTCACTCAGAAGCATTTTATGTCAGCTTACAAGTTTACAACAGCACTTCTGCAGTTCTTGATCTATTTTAATATATTGAAAATCAAAAATGCAGAATGAATGCTACTGATGCATTATGAAACAAGAGTAACATAGCTTTCAATTTTTCACTGTGCCAGAGGAAACATGTCCAATATACCACTGCATACTATGCATAATCAAAATTTATTTAATATTTAAACAAACATGGGCCACAAGATTGCTTTTTTTTACACAAGCTTTTGGCAGTTCTGGTGAACATGAGGAGTTAGTGAAAGGAACCTGGGTTCGATTCTCATAAAACAAATTCCAAAGAAAGTGACTTAATATTGCCCCCTTAAAAAAAAGTAAAGGTTGCAGATGAAAAGATTCTATCTTTAGTTATTTTTTAAGGATTACGTACCTCTTTAAGGATTTTGCTTGCATCTTCTTTTAGACTATGTAATCTCATTTAAAAGGCTCTGCCTCCATCTCTCACTCAGTTGAAGGCCACCATACATACTGAATGCAGACTACTTGTCCTTATTTGCTTTTTCTTTAATTCCATGAACAATAGAGGCTGATATCATTTTTAATAAAAGTTCAATGCAATTTCCAGTATGCCCTTCTCTGATTTTTTTTTTTTAAATATGCTATTTCTATTTGATAAAAAAAGGAAAAATTCCAATGCTATAACGCCTTTAACCTTGCAAGAAGTGCCTCGGCATCCGACTCCTCGGGTCCCTCACCATTAGCATTATTGTTCGTGGAATTATTAACAGGCTGGGAGTCCTCAATTGGTGCATTCACAGATCCTTCTCGACTCCGTCTCCCTCCTTCGGCAGCTGCCGCTGCCGATGCACGGTCTCGCTTTTTCCGCCTTTCTGGACGGACTCTGGGACTACTGTCTGTTCCATCATCAAAGTTTATTTCTTTCACTAAGTCCATGCTGGATAAGTTCTGTCTTGACCTTGACCTAGTTAACTGAGCTCTTCTCTCAGCTGGAATGTACAAGAAACCCCAATTTAAGAAAGGTTAAATATATTTATGTGGTAGTGGTGGAAAAAAAATAAAATGGTGGCAAACTGAAATAAAACAGTAATACAGAACCATTACCATGAAATTAAAAATGAAAAAATGTATTAAGCTAATAGGAATCTTTAATGAAAAGTACATAAACCCAAAAGAACAAGAAGAAACCTAAGACAACAGCATACCAAACCACTACAGTCAACATAATAGGACTTTGACTACTGATAAAAAAAAAAAAAAAGATCCATTCAAACAAATATCCAGGAAGTGCGTTTAAGACTATCATATTAGTTAAAAGAACATAGTCCTTATGTCAATATACTATCAGTATGTTAGTATATAAGTCTATGTTAAATACGCAGGCTTGTTAAAGTCAACAAAAGTGGTGTAACTTTATAAGGCAACTTCAAGGCATGGGGTGTGGGTGGGAGTAAAAACCTCTGACAAAACCTCGGTGCATGGACAAAAATCATTGCAGTTATTTGGGGGACAAAAATGCAACACACTTTAAGTTATATTCAAAAAGCAATTTGCCAAGGAAATTCTCGCAGAACCTCAAAGTACAAAAATAGTTGTGTTGTATCAAAATGTTAGCAATTCATTTATTCCTCAAGAAAAACTGTGCATTTTATATCACTTCATTATTCCACTATAACATTCAAACAAATAAAAATAAATTACACAAAGCAACAAGTACAATATATGATATTATCAAACAGGAACAAAACCAATTTGGAACAAGACTCAAAAGACATACAAAGAAGGCCTACATGCTTTTGTGGTGCAATTACCTACGTACAGAATGCAATCTCCAGCAGTAGGGCAGAGAGAGATGAAAAAACAGGACCCAAGGAATGAGTATCAAAAATATCCTGACTGAATCAGAAACTCATTTCCAGCACACCATAGAAAAACAAGGGCATGCTTTCAACAGAAGGCTTCCCATACTAATTGAGAATTTATGTAATTGTTATGTTAGAATGGCATCCTTTTCCTACTATTATCTTTCTACAATATCATCCTATTTTGTCCAACATGCTGCTTGCTCTCATGTCATGCCGGCATGCTTAGACTGTAAAAGAATACCTGTCAAAGGCCAAAAGCACTAGAACTAGATCATTCCTAAGATTACTTCACTGGGCTGGGGTTTGTTTTGCCTGTTATAATAACTGCCCCCTCTCCTGGGGTACTCCCTGGGAAATTCCTGAGAAGGGAAATCCATGTGTGGCCTCTCCCTACTATCAGGGTAGTCCCAGGTATCTCTAGACTGTTGTGAGTAGGGTCTATCTCCCACAAAGTGGGGGTCCCTGTGAGACACATGGGCCCTGTGCCTGTGGGGCTCCCAGGAATCAATGTACTGGGGTGTATTGCTATTCTCTCTGGCTAGTAAAATATTTTCAAGATTGGTGTTGCTGTTTTGCCGAGGTTTAGGGGGCGGTCTAGGACTTCTTCCTGAAAGGTGTCAGTATTCCTCATGATCTGGGGTGTTACTTATAGAAAAACAAGCACGAAAGTGAAAGCATAACAGGTAACGAGAAATGTTGGAATTAAATAAATAAATAAATAAATAAATAAATAAATAAATAAATAAATACACCAAAGCAAGAGAATTAAGAATGAAATCTCAAGCCTAACAGATGAACAACAAATAAAGTATGTTACATAAATACATATAAAAAGTAGGAGAAGAAGAATTAAATATAACACCATTATCACTACTGCTGGATAAACGTAAGCTTTGACTAAACTCTGACAAGACATTAGAGTATAAGTTGTTTGGAAAGCCATGAGGTGCTGGAGGCTTGCTAATACAACCACCTGAAATACAGTATCATGTATAATAACATCAATACCACATACAAGAGCAGACAACAGAATACCAGGAGCAGTAACAACATCAATACAACGTACAAGAGCATTAAAGATGATACAACTTTCCTTACATACATTGCTGCAGTATATGATTACATGAGACAGGAAATGACACCAAAGGCAGTCAAGTTATGAACCTGGGATGTAATAAGTTAGGAATTCTATGAAGTTCTTTCATCAAATTACAACGTATAAGCGTGTTTTTCCTTCCATTTTCTTTCCACACCTAACATGGCAGTTCTATGGAGGGCACTATTTTACATTGTCTTTTTTTATCATAACTTTAACACAATTTTTATTTTTGGAATACTTTTTATGTAGTTCCACAGTAACAAATAGCAGTATTGCATGAGGTAAAAGTACCAAGTTAAATGCTGACTGCTGCAGACAGTCAGCAATAAGGAATGGACAAAATATAATAAAAACTATTTAAAAGCACGTGTGCAAAAGATGGTGCTGAATTCCACATGTAATGGACATAGGTTGCACTCTGAATCCAAAACACTTTATCCAAACACATTTTACATTGATAATCAATATCAGTGGTCTGTACCACAATTGCAGGCTCTCAGGCTTAGTCACAATTTTCATTGTTAAAAAAAACTAAAGTTTAAAGGTTTTTAACATGGCATATTTAAGTCACACTATTAGCCATATGTGATTCTCAATCACACAATACCCCAGCATCTATAAGAAAGGATTATGAAGAGAGAATTTATACGAGTTATATTACCTCCTGCCGCTCGTGGCGTCCTCTTTTGGCCTGCTCTCTTTTCTCGGTTCACATTAAATGCACTGCCTGTTGCCAAGGCATCCAGGAGATTGTCCATTACACCTTGCTGGTCGTCATCTGAAATGACACGCAAAGTGTTTTAGTTTATAGCAAACAACTTGGCTTGCTTGCATTTCTTTTACATAGACATCAAAGAAGTTCTAAAGTAAAATAATTAAGTCTTTTCTTCTAAAATTCGTCTAGATTTGGTCCATTTCTTGTTGATTTCTATACACTAAATACTCAATGATCCAAGGTCTCAAACTTCTCCTAAAAATCTTCAGATTTCATCTAAGGCAATCAGGCATTTGGATGATGTCATTTAGACTGATGCATTAAAAAAAAAAAACTCTTCTCTCACCTGCAGACATATCAACCAATGCTTTCTTCCTGGCAACTTTTTCTTTCTTTTCTCTTTCTGTCTTCTCCTTGGCCTCTTTGGCACGTCTGATCTTCTCCTCTGTCTCCCTCAACTTCTGGTTTTCTTTAACTGCTTGCTGTAGATAAATATAGGAGACATGTGAATTAAAATTATGCAAATTTTAAAAATCTATTTGAAAGACTCCATCAATTTGATGAAATAAGCTTTTGTTCATATAAAATTTATAAAATTTTGAAGATTTTAGTGTAGCCGACAATCCAATACATATTATTTTGTAAACAGCAATATCAATAAGCTAAATCTACACTGACAAAGGAAGGAGCCACACTTACCTGAAATTGCTTAATGAATGTCTGTACATCTCCGAAAAACTCCTCAATTCCATATTTGTTCCGATCAAAACAGTAAAATTTAGCAATATCTCCAAATAATGTGCCCATCTTCTTATGCATGCTCTCCAGGACCTCCACCTGGTCTTTGGCAGTGTTCACAAACTCGTGACATTGGTTAAGGAAGATAAAATAGCTCACTGTATAAGCACATGTATAAGCAGTTTATAAATATGGACATTCACTTGAGTCTGTTGCTAAGGTGAGCGCTTGAGCATTATGACCCCTTTTTATGAATTAAATACTTAAAAGCATAATATCATAATAAGATGTCTTTGAGCAACAAAACACATGCACAAAAAGTTAAATGCATCACTCAACTTTTTAATAAACAACACACACACACAGAGAGAGAGAGAGAGAGAGAGAGAGAGAGAGAGAGAGAGAGAGAGAGAGAAATTATAAGAAAGTGAAAGAAATGCTTGGCATGAAGACATTCCCATGATGTTGTTAGTCAAAGAAATACTCCTAGGGGTAGTCCCCCCAGTAACATGTGATAATCCTGTTGTAAAAAGGATATCCCAAGAACCTCTGTAAAGCGGTCTCCTTCCACTTGGGGCTGTTTGGCCATATTCTTCAGGTCTGTTTCCAACATCTTTAGACTCTTATTCATTCCAGCCATGTTCTTTGTCAAGATTTGTTCTGACACTAAAGTGAGGAAAAAAAGACCATCAAGGTACTAGAGCTCTCAAAACAATATTCACTTCATACTTTCTCTCCAGACAACATCAGTGTAACATAAAACTTCACAGTATCCAAGTGACGTATTGAATAGGATATTACCCTCAAATAATGCAACAATTAAATGTGTAAAACACCAACAAACTATCTGAACATTTTGGACTGTTCGTACAAAATAAAAAAAAAAAATAAAAAAAAAATAAAAAAAATAAAAATAAAAAAACGAATTAAATCTAATTTTAATTTTTAATTACTCCACAACAGCATGCATCAAAATCAATCTACACTGAAGATACAAACCCTGATAAACCATTATGAAAATCTCAACTCACATACATTGAGAAACATACCTCTAACAACAATGACGAGTTTCTTTCTTTACACAACCATTTTTCAAAGCAATAGATCTAAAAACTTTCCTTTAAATATGAGAGAGAGAGAGAGAGAGAGAGAGAGAGAGATACTCATACCTCTGGCAGCCTTATCAACATGGATGAGCTCTTCTGGGAAGGTCAAAATATCTGGATATTTAGTCTCCACAATCTCTGCCAGGAAGTGAAGTAAGGTGCTCTTATTGTCTTGTGCCTTTGTGTTCACCAACTGGAAAAAAATGGTGATTAGCATCTAAATTTAGTCTATACAAAATAATATAATGCAATATCTACTGCATGGAAAGTCACTTTCAGATTAGATTTATACTTGACACACACAACTTATAATACAAAATGGTGTTTCAGGAATGACTTCTGAATTATCTATTTCAAAATCATGATAATTAACACTGCATTACAATATAAGCCAATTCAAGAGTAAAATCTACCTCTGCTTTTCAAATGAAACAAATCCAAAGTAAGCATTTTGAATCATGAATAAATCCACTTATCAAGAAAAAAAATCAGAAATATCCTAGGAAAAAGAAATACTAGCACATTACAAATTCAGTATACTCTTTACAATCCATTATAAAACCAAAGCGTTACTCACCTTTGGAAGAAAACTGATGTCAAACCCTAAAGACTTCTCATTCCTGGAACCTGCATTCATATAGTTACCAACCAGCAGAATGAGTTCCAGGAGTTTGGCAAACTTCCCACTCTGCTTCACCTCTTCACAAGCTGCCGTGGCTGCCACAATTTCCTGGAATAAGTTCATTACTTCATGTTTAAGAAACTATCAAATGAAAATAACAGAGAACAATAAATTTAATCCTATCTGTCAATCATATAAACTGCTAGGGATACAACAAAATATGATTTTTTTTTAAATTTTGCAGAGTAGTGTCCAATTCAAAAACACACACAGTATCCCTTATGTTGTATTATAAAACAATCAACTGAAGCTTGATTACAAAAATGTCAAGCATAATTGCTGGCACTTTTTGTATCTTGGTTTTAATTTTGTATCTGAACTTACTGGTTTAATATCCTGCACAAGCTCTGGGAACTTCAGCTTGAACATCATTGAATTAAGTCGGGGAACCAGCCTCTTAATTCCTGACATCTGGAAACAATACAAGGATACACGATGAAGAAAAATAAGAAAATATAAATAATATCTTACTTTTTTACAAAAATAATGTGGAATGTGTTCATGTAAAGGTGAAACAGAGTTTTTTTATCAATAAAATCACATTTTATTATCTGTTTCAATGACACAATTTTTGAACACAATATGAATAAAGCTTCACACAAATTACGCATAAATTTAATCAGGATCAACAAAGATTCATGTAATTCTGAAAAAGAGGCCAGACATGCTATAATTCGTATCCATGTGCATTATGTTTCAGTGTCTTTCATTTTTCTCTTCACACTATTAACCCTAACATATCAGATAGACAGATATAACAATTGGCATGGCGCTGTATGTCACAACCACACATTCCAAACAATAGTATTTCACATAGTATGATTTATTTAAGTGTTGCATATTCTTAAAACATAAAAAAAAAAAAAAATAAAAAAATAATAATAATAATAATAATAATAATAACATTAAACAAAAACAAATTAAAAGAATACCCAGCCATACTTGGCTTATGAGACACAGTTAAAAGATTTCCATCTTTTAAACATTTAAAAAACTGTCTTAGCTAATAAAAATTGGTATTCACAATTCATAATGAAAACAAATTTTTCTGTATCACTATAATTGCTAAAACACATAAAACTTGTTGATGTGTACCATTCCCCAATCCCCAGAGCTCTTAGAAACTCACCACAACACAGAACTGCTCTGGCTCAGCCAGATCATCGTATTCATCCTTGAGCTTGGCTATCTTAGTAATCTCTTCCTGCTCTGGCAGGGCTTTGATCAGTTGTTCCACCACTTGATCAGGAAGCTTCTCTTCGTCTACCTCCAGAATGCGCTTCTTAATCTCGTGATATGGAAGCTTGAGGGAGCCCAGAAGAATGGCTGTAAATAGTAAAATGATTTCATGTGAAGTTGTTGTCAGCTGAGTGCCACATTTAAAGACAACTTTATTTCTTCAGGAAATGTTTTCAACATAATAATGTTTCTTGAATCTTGTCTACTATAAAATCAATTAAAATACTACATATTACATGAATTAGTAGTTGTTTTAATATCAAGGGCCAGTGGAGCATCCTGCAAGTGTTTTAAAAAACCTCCTGCTCTGGAAATGATGGATCACATCTTCGGCAGAATAAAGGGGGAGGGGAACAGGATCACATTTTTCCCAATGCTATGTTAGATAGGAACAACAGTGTAGAATGGAGAGAGGAGGGAGGGGGGGGGGGGGGGAGTTAAGCCAGGATGAAAATAATGACTCTTTGAAAGAGTTAAAACACAAATATATATATATATTAAACAAGTCCTTACACAGATTTTGTCCTGCCTTGCCATCCAGCACCTTCAGTTCTTTCCCCTTCTTCTTCTGCTCAGCAGCTTCCCCAGTGGGTTCCTTTTTAACTATGACACATAACAAGGTACATAAGTCTACATTTCCTTTAAAAATCATAGGCCATGCTTCCAATGATGCAGCAATGTTCACTTCATATAACTGATGGTTATTATGTTGATGCAACATTATTTCTTATCCTTTCAACCTTTTATAATTCTTTTCACATTTCTACAGACAACAGTAATACTTATGTGCGCCAAACTCTGTAGACTCTTCATTTTTTTACCTGCTGGTTTGGTGGAAAACTTTGCCTTGAGAGTTTTAAATAAGTCTTCATCTTCTAACTCTTCCTCGTTTATTTTAACCCAGAAAGATTCTTTGTCCAGCTGATTTGGCTTAATCTGAAAAAAATTTTAAAATATATAAACATCTTCCTGAACCTTGCATTCTCACCACTAGATGTGACACAAAAAGCTTTTAACTCATTTCCACTATAAAATCACCTTTCAACAATGCTTATGAAACAGAAACTAATACATCACTGTTTTCGTTATTTAAATGTCTTTTTCAATATTCTAAAACAATAAAGAAATAACCAAAACACCAACAACTAGCCTCCAGTTATAAACATAATCTAAAAATGATCAAAATATTTATAATATAATCTTTTGGGCCTTGTAAAAAATCAAAGAAGCAGAGAGAGAAATGTGTGTATTTTGTCAAAGGATAAAATCTCACCTTATTCCAATTAGCTCTCTTAAGTGGCGCGTCTACTGAATAACCCTTCTTGGCCTTCATGCCAAATGGCAGTACATTCTGCGGAGGGGAGGGAGCAAGGGGGGAACCAGTGAAACCAGGGGGTCTCAGAGCACCTAAAGGAGGGGGTGGGGGTGGCCCCATTCCTGGGGGTGGAGGGGGTGGGGGAGGTCCCCCACCAGGTGGGGGTGGAGGCGGAGGCGGAGGTGGAGGTCCACCACCTGGAGGAGGTGGAGGTGGAGGTGGGGGAGGAGGTGGAATGCCTCCACCTGGAGGGGGTGGGGGTGGGGGTGGAATGAATCCACCTGGTGGGGGTGGAGGCGGTGGAGGAGGAGGGGGACCTCCTCCCACCCCCGCTTGCTTAGCTATGGCACCACTGACAACAGCACTCACTCCTTGGGATATCTAAAATTGATTGGAATAAAATTTGATGAAATATAAAACTTGATGGACAGATTCACATTCTTACATTCAAACTTTTTAACTGTTCAATAAGACAATGACAAGTACAGCTTGTCACATCAGCTTTGGTTTCTTAAATGTAGTGCCCTTTTATATAAAAACTGCACTATATGCTGTCTTGTGTATTCTTGTGTATATATTTCTACCATTCTCTATAACAAAGTAATATGTACTAAGACTAAGTTTTATTACCCATTCTTAAAACTGAAACAATAAAAAAATGCAACATCAAAAGACAGAGGTTCATCAATTCAAATATAACACTAACAATCCTGCTCACCTTTTCTTTCAAATCTGCAAGTTCCTGTTCATATTTCTTAATCTTTTCTTCTAGAGCTGACACTTTTGCCTCGGATTCCTGTTTGGCAGTTAGAGCCTCTTCCAATTTACCAGATAACTCCTTCCCGCCAAGGCTGTCTTCAAATTTGGATCTCTCAGTTAACTGACCTATATATCGTGGACAATGCAGATATAGAATTTTTTTAGAGAAATGGAGCAAGGTTTATGAAAATGCAAGAGCACATATTGCTGTAGCGCAATTAGAATATTGCAAGGCATCGTCCAGATCTTTTCATTTCACCTTAAAATCTGAATTGCATGGAGTATGGTATATTCTTTACTCGTATAGTACAACTTACAGGCACAGGCAAGGAAAGCACCTTTTTACACTACCAAATTCAACTTTTTTGCGCATTTTTTTTATTTATGCAAATAAGCCATGTAAGAATTTAGAAGTTGATCGATTTCTTTTTTCATTCTTATCATTAAAGTTGAAAGTTTTACCTGTAGCAATCAGTTAACAGTGAAGGTGCATTGTATAGTCTTGTATGAATTTTGTAATTAGAACAAATCTGACACGTTAAATTTTCTAACACACAGGACAGACAACATAACAGAAAAGACTCCCTCTATGTTAGTCAACATATAAATGAAATCGATAGCTAAGAAAAAGCTTACTTTCTCTTAAAATAATGATAAACTGCAAAATCTTTTCATTAACAAAGGTAAGAATGTATTATTACCTGGGCAAATTAGAATATAAAAGGGCTACAAGAGGCAACAGTACTTCATGCTTAACACTATTTTATTTATGTATTATCCTAAATAGCTCTGATAAGCATTATAGAGTACCTTAAGATATCACTTTTACTGATTCTAATTTGAACATAGTTTGACACAGAAAATTCAGATTTGACAAGTTAGAGTACACAGGAATCATGCTGGCCTCAAGATGAAGGCATGCAAAATGATACAGGGAGAACATAAGAAATAATATTGAGATATACAAAGAAAAATATGGGCTGTGCTTTTGTTAGAGATTCGTGCAAAATAACCAAATTACCATCTACAACATCTTGTGCTATGCCACCTGATGAAATGGACAGGAGCAAACATATAATAATCATCATGCCTTAAATCAAGATTTTAATTCCTGCGCTGAATAATTAACACATTTCATGCAAAAAAAAAAAAAAAATGATGTCAACAAAAGACATTTTATCATCTGATCTTATTGTGCTGAGTTTCTAAAAAGTTTCAACTTTTCTTAAGAGACATGCAATAGGAAAACAGTGCAGTTCTCAATGTAAATGAGTATGAAAGGTGCCTCGATTTCCCATATATAACAGTAAGATACTGCTGAAAAACACTTATTGGTTTCTTCTCGAATATTTACACAGAATGCGAAATGTACTATAGCATGCAAGAAACATTCCAAAGAAAAGAAAGACTAAAGAGTGCTAAGAATGCAAGATTACCATCGAGTGTATCACGTGACAAGCCACCTGATGAAATTTAACAAAAGCAGAAAGCACACGTGAGATAGGTTAACAAAAAACAAAACACAGTAAAACCAGCTACAGCACTGTAAATATGCACAAATATTCAAGAAAGACGAACATTTTTGTGATACAAAATGGCTACTATATTAAACAAAGATGACAAGTTGTTAGTGAAAAGCTAAGTTAAGCTAAAGATTAACCATGGAACAAAAACAGCAAAAGCAAACAAACAAACAAGATGTTTCTCATAGAAAAGGTAACAAGCGGTCTTTGGATGCACCTGTGCTGTCCATGAGGGCATCGATGTTACATCTGATCCTGACTCCCCAAAATACTGATTTTCCAAGCATACTTTGACCATCTGACCCCACTACCATGGAAGTATATGTGGGATGTAAATACGGACGGGGAAGGGGGGGGGGGTTCCTATTACATTATCAGTCCTCATGGTTAGAGACCTAATGAGAGTAGGACCCTAAGCATGTTAAGATCATGTGACTAAGCAGAGATCACATTTATGACATTTTTTCACTTCATTCTACTCTAAAACTTAGTATAACACGAGTCATATTTTTAATGGACCAAGTTTTTGGCTCTTTTTACTAAAAGCAGTCAATCGTCAGGTACTTTTGGGTCATATTTGTACCTACAAATAGGTAGACACCAGTAGCCTTTGTTTTGGCTGTAAACAGACATCAGATTATAGCCAATGGCTCATTACATTTCCAGCCCACATGCTCTTCCATGGTCCCACCTATCCACTGAGTTGGTATCTTATGTTAATTTGCAAAAACTTGAAAATTTAGTCAGTCTTGAAAATTTTGTTGGAAGACGATTCTCTTATGACATTTTTTTCCTCTCATTTTTTCAAACTTGAAAATGGGCCTCTGAATAGTTTTGAAAAGTTTGTCGCTTAATAATGTCGTATTGGATTCATGCATTTTAAATCTTCATGATTTTACCATAACAGGTCACTGGTGAAGTCAGTATTCTAGGGGTCTGTATCAGATATTACAGCAGCAGCCAGTAAGCAAAATATTTTGTATAAATATCATATCATATAAAAAAGCAGAAAAAAATACAAAATTAACCTACCTATGAGTGGTTCTACATCTATTTCAAATCTTTTGGTCTGCCTAAAGTCGGGATCCATTCCACTTTTGTGCAGAACTATTTGGGTAACACATTCTTCTATCAGTTTATAGTACTGGGGCCTACAAAGTGACCAATCTTTCCAGTATGAAAATGGTCAAACTGTGCTGACCAACAAATAAAACAAAACTTGAGATATGAAAAAAATTTTTTTCTCATGTTGCTTGCAAGATTTCACTTACAGGAGACCTCTAAGCTAGCAGTGCTAAAATATGCAATAACAAAGCTTATTAAAGGAGTGCATACACTCATTTATGCAAGACACATTAAACATACTCAACATTGAAAAAATAAAATCTAAATGGTTTATCTCCATAATAAATCCAATTTAAGAAACAGGATTCAACTGCACTTAATTCCTCTAAATTTTAGATACAAGACCACCATTTGACTAAGAAACTTAAACGATCGATTCCCCACTCACCTTACTACATAATCATCTCTAATAAATAACAAATGCTGCAAGATAGACAGGAAATAGGGTTCTGTTGATGTCCCAGCTACATTGCTGATTATTAGTTGAAAGCACTCTCCAGGGTCAGTGAGCAAGAGTTAAGGTGAATAAAATATAATAAATAAATATATTATTATAAAATGTATAAAAAAATATTTCAATTCACCTTTCAAAATACTATGGATTAAAATAATAAATAAATAAATAAATAAATAAATAAATAAATAAATAAATAAATAAATAAAACAGGTTTAACTGTTGTCTCTTTTTGAAACGGAGGGTTTTAAGGCTTTAATTAACCTGAAATAGTGAGAAAGTGTGTTTGTGTATGTGTATGTGCCCTTGCACATAATCATTTAGTGAAAAACAAGTCCTTGTTAGGGAATATCTTTCTTTGAAAGGATATTCTAACTCTGCCCTAATGTTGTCATAGCGATGGAAGAAGTCATCATAATCTTCATCTTTATGTTCTGTGAAGACACCAACTTGAACTTTCACCTCTTCACTATCATCATTTTCTAAACCCTGTAATATGAAAATATGATCTTCCAAGTTTTCTCTTTCAAATTTCTTGATTTTAGAGATTAAGTTCACGAAGACAAAATATTGTGATCATGGGATCTTTGTAATTCAAATCAACAATTATCACGAAAATATATATTATAAAATGTACAAATGCAAAATGTTTGAACATTAACAAAAATGGAATAATTACAGAAAATAAAGTTGAAAATGTGTTTATAATTAATTTTTTATTTAGTCATTTAGTCCATAAGTTCATTTAGTCCAAACAGATAAAGAAACCAAAAGTAGGGCTTTGGGCTTGCTCTTTATCATACCTCTAATAGATCCACAAGTCCCGTCCTCATAAATTCATTTCTCAAGTGTATTCGGAAGTCCAGGTCATCCGGCGTGGTAACTATGGCATTCACTAACTGCATACAGGCAACCTAACATGACAAGATATACATACTAACATAAGACACAGTATTGATATAATTGGATTATCCAGTGGGCTTTCTTTGATGCAAGTTAAAAAGTTCCATATTAATCAGATGAATTAAACTTTCAAAAAATTTCCCAATAATATTTTTTTTTAAATCAAAGGAAATCTTGACGATAATCACTGTTTATTGGCCTCTTAAAAGGAAGACAAAAAAGATAAGAAAATCAAATGGACATGCTGAGAAAAATGTCTAAACTGGGCCTGGCTTTGTCTTTCATAATATTCTACCTTCATTGGTATATTCTTTTCTATTCCTAGACCATCTATGATTGGAGTAAATCTGTCTTGGTTTCTTATTTCTCCACACATAGTAATGGCTTCTAGAACTTTCTCATGACTGGAATAGAAGGAGAACAGGTACAAACTATGTAATTACGTCTGCATCAGATATTTTCAAAAGCTTTACAAAGATGTTGAATGTAACTGTACAGGATGTACAAAAAGGAGGGATGAAATCTGATTACACTTCCAATACTAGTAAAGTGAAAATTATTGCAATATTTATCTTATATTTTTAATTGTTAAATATGATGAATTCAAATAGAAAGACTGTTAACTCTGTGAGTCAAAACAATTTCTTCACCATTCACACATGGGACTCAAATATATTTAGAAACTGCTTGGAAGATTAGCAAGTCCCACTTGATCTAAAACCAAAATCACCATATTTTAAGTTTGAAAGGTGAAACTATTCCACTTGAGCAAAGGAAAATATCTCAAAATCCTAAGTTATCTTACCCATCAGGGGGCACCAAGCAGACGGCAGCCAGCAGACGTACCGCTTCCAACATGGTGGCCTGGTCGGCTGGATCCACAGTTCGAGATAAAATGGTAAGCGCTTCATCGTGATGGAGAATGTTTTTCAAACCAAACTGGAAGAATCAATGCAAGATGATTTATCAGAATTGTGTAAGTAGCATAGAATAATATATGCTTCTTTACCTAAAGTTAGAAAAAGTATGCAAAGTCCTAATAACATTTTTGAAATGAAATCTGGGAAATTTTACTTATAAGACAATAATGAAAGGGTCCGCTACCTTATTGTTCATAAAAGCCTTCAAGCACCGAACACACTCGTGTGTACTCCTCCTTTCATTTCGACTGGAAAAATAAGAACACACTCGTAAATTATGATCAGTAAACAACATCAAAAATTATGAATGGTGCATGTGAATAATTTAAGATAGGAGAAAGGAAAGAATTATTATGACATATAGTCTGAATCACTGATGCACCAGTTACCATAGGATGAAATTCACAAATACTTCTAATTCTTTAAGTTTACTAAGGCCACACTTTTTTAATTTTATGGATGACATCCTGCGCGCGCACTGATTTTCATCCGTTCTCCAAAAAAAAAACCCCCCCCCAAGGAAGTCGGTTGTCGCAAACGTCGTTATTGAATTTGCCGGAAAATGCAATCTGCAATCCTCGGCTAATTCCGCAAGCTCCATGCTGTCATTGTCGACTGCGGAGACATCCGAGTAGTTCCGAGTGCGGAAAATGAGCTTTCTGCACATGCGTATTATCACCACGTGGAAATATGGCCGCTTTGCCGTCAAATTCATCTCTAGCATTAATTTCAAAATACACGACAATTAAAGTCATAAAGAGAACGGGGGCCGTCGTTTTGGATTGGTTTGCCATTGGACATGGAGATATCACCTTTTTACAATTATACGAAAGGCTGGCCGCAGCCAGCGATCATTGCCCGGAAAATTTCAGTGACATTCTGTCCAAAGCAGCACATAGGCTTACCAGGTTTTTTTTTGTAGCGAAAAAAGGGTCGACAAGAGCGTCGTGGTATTTGGTGGACTGAAGGTCGGACAGGCCACCCAATAGTTGGCTGCTACGTGTGAGTCGAAGTAGACAAAATGGCATCGACCGAAATTACATTTTTTAGATTTGGTAGTAGGAAGCATAGGCCTATCTTTGCTTCATTTTTTAACAATTCTGTGAAGTGTTCACAATGCTTAAATTTTCTGAGAGTACAAATAAAGACACGCTGTTTATTTGATATTTGTTTTATTGATTGCTATACCAACAGAATGCATGAAATAACCTTAAATAGATTTGGTAATATGCAGCATATATATATTCATGACTTTTTACCTTTCTACGAAGTAGGCCCTATTCACAATGCTTTAATATTTTGAGAGCATGGATAAAGACATGT